ACTGCCTAAACCTCTACCACGAAAGCAGCAAAAATAAATGCTAGCAGATATTATGTTCATATTTCGTGGTATAAAGGTGACGAAAGAAGATAGAAAAACAGTCGAAAATAATAACTTACCGATATATATATTACTTCGGACGGTAGCGAATAATCGGTATAGCTCGCTTTTTTTTTCTTTTTATATGATAGATTAATGCGAGTTGCCGATTTTGTGCTTGATGACCGCCCATATTAGATCAAAGTGTTTTGAAAATCGAGCCCAAAATCTTTCTATCGCTCGTTCAACAAAATTACAGAAACTAAGCAGAAATTAACGACGTTGTGGAAACATGTCCTGCTACGTATATCGACCAGTGAGCTTATCTCTAGAAGCCAACAGTGGTCTAAATATAAATGCATATTATAACATCTAAGTTGTAACAGGCTGCTCTGTGGGTCATGCAAAACCAAACGCTAAGTTTATGGACCTGAACCTAAATTTTGTCTCATTATTTTAAATAACAAAGTCGTAAATCGGGAAAATGAGTCGTTTCCAATGAACAAACATCTAGATAAAGTGTCGTGTATTTTTAGCTGCACGCAAATTGTTCACCTCACTTCTTTTTCCCCTCGCTCTTCAGTGCCGCAAATTAACCGCGCAGAGGAAAGTTTTTTTCTTTTGTAGAACAACAGAACTTTGGTTACGTTGAATACTTAGAATAGTATGTAGACGCTCGGCAAATGCTGTAAAACATACCTGCGTAGTGGCATTTGTCTGCATCGTTCTCTCGTGCTAGAATGCAAAGAGCTAAAAAATCTAGTTTAAAGATTTGTAAATAGATTAATTCATGGGTCGCGCAATGAATATAATGAACAAAGCTTTAAGTGGATAAATTAAGTTTTTTTTTCATATTATATATCAATTCCCATATCCAGCCCTCTATCCACGGACAAACGGCCGCGGTATGAATCTTTTATGTTAGTTCCACATCGATTATTTCAAGTACATGGTTAGTCTGCCACACAATGAAAGTTCTCATTAGCATCAACCACGCTTATTTTAACAAATCTGTGCAATTTGTTATCCTATTTATTGCATTGATAGCCACGTTCATAAGCGCCATTCCGAAAGTTATTAGTTTCTATATATATATATATATATATAGAGGTAATCAAGCAGATATAATCCATTTTGGGAACAAATTTCGTATCTATGCGTTGTGCTTCCGTTTGTTTCATTAGTTTAATCATACGCTTAGGCACAAGAAGGACCAATTGTCTTTTTGTACGCTTGCAAAATCTACCACAAACTTTGCTTTATCTTTGGCAAAGACTAGCGTCAACGGAACCGAAAGCCCTCAGAAAAAGAAATATAACTTACTACCTCATATCGACAATTTCTATATAATTTCATTACTCTGCGGTGCAACCTTTCTGCTGTGAATTTTGCGTGTATTTGTAAAAAAGTTTTCCTAAACTTATTGACTAAAGATACCATCAAAGGTCACATTGCATATAACAATAAAACTTACTAATGCCATAAACTTCAATAATAAGTAAACTTCAGTTCATACGTAATGACAGCTGTCGATTTGAATCGTACGATTTTTTCTCCTTATCTGCTTATATATGGAGCACCTAGTGTGAACTTATTTTGTGCTCTTTGTCTGGCTGTGTATCAAACATTCTCCTCCGCGTAGAACTACACTCACGCAAGTTTTTAACCATGTACCGTTAGCTGTTCTTAGACCGTTTGATAATAAGTATTATTGCCAAACATTTCAGTAAGGAATACCTCTGCAGCTTAAATAGAGCTTGCTAAAACTATCGACCACGGACAAACAATATAAACTGAACAATAACAAGCCAAATTTGCGTCAATATAAGTACTCAAACCCGTATTTTTTAAATTTCTCTTGATCTCTTCATAGTGACTTACGCAATCAATCTAGCGCAAAAAGCTTCAGTATGCAAATGTATGCCTAAGTGTCGATCTGTAGATGTAGACCGCCGCAACAATATCATTTATGCATGTTTACCTATTTAGCAAGGAACAACAACAAGCGTGGAAAATATTGGTTAAAAGGCTGTTTGAATGAGGTGTTGCAATTGTTTAACTCTTAAGCTAGGTATTCTAGATCTCATTAGAAAGGTTTTCTGAAAATCCTTTGAAAACCATTGACATGTACAAAATTGCTGACATAAAAAGTACACTCGCTAATAAAAGGATATTTCCAGAAAAGAAATGAGCATGCGTCATGTTGTGCCCCTGGATCGTATACAAACATGTACCGACAAGCAGTTTCTAGATCAGGATATACTAAACAGATCCTGAAGAGCAATATAACATAGCAAAGTCAGGTCGAGCTTAACCAATACGAAAATGACTAAGCGTTACGTAAGGCACTAATCACGCACATACGAATCCTCACGGTTCTCGCACGTATTGTTTTTGACCAGTTGCTTACCAACGAAAAACTTTCTTTTCTGTAAATTCAGACCACTGCCCTTGAGGGCGCCTTGAAGCGAAAGTCTTCTCGCTGAAAGAGTTTGCCACGGCAGCTTTTGCTTTTCAGCTTATTTCACAATGGCGGATGCCGTGAGTCATCTTGAAATCATTTGCTGGCGAGTGTCTCGCGGAGATGTCTGTATCTGAGGCAGGTTATGCCGTTTTTTTCCTTGGAGTTAGTTCATACGTCATGGTTCCGTCCGAATCTGAATAGTATAGTAGATCTATATACATAAGCTTATATATATATATACACAAGGCGTCCTCTGTAGTGCTACAAACGCTATATTACGGCTATTTCGCATATACAGATGGTAGAGTGAAACTTCTTCTTCAAGAAGGCCACAGAGTGCTAAAATAGCTTCAGAAAGCTAACCCGAGATAGCAGGACGATGCGAGCAAAGAATAGGATCCACGACATCTAGTCTATGTATAGTATGACGTGTGCATGTTTATTGACAAGGAACACATATGTAAGACTAACTAAAAGCGCATGCTTTACGCAGATGCTTATCAAAAGCCAGTTCTTGTAGGTCCTCGATGAGCCAACGCACTGCCATCATCCCTGGCCGCGTTTTAACTGCCTAATTACTGCTTGACAGCGGGAAATAATTGAGACCAACAATGATATTGATTTCAATAGAAAGCTAGCCATTGACGAGGACAGTATCACTGAATCGTCACTCATACAATATTGTATCTTTTAAAATATGATCTAAATAAAACTCGAATAATTCGATCTGACCTGAAGCAATATGCAGAATACCCGCAGATGGCACAGACAGGATTATCCTGTCCAAGGCAAGACCTGAATATGTTGACCTAAAGCAGGACTTCGAATATCCATGGGGGTTGCATATAGATTTATTCAGCCTAAATGTACAAATAAGATTTAATCCGATAGCGTCCAAGACGAGCAAAACTTAACCTAACTGCAAACATTTAGAAATCCTAGAAAGGCGGGTGAAATCGTTATTAGGTGCAGTAAATTGATGAGTATCTGGTGACTCGCGTAAGGCCAATCATTCTTTAAAGATAAGAGCGAACATAGCTTAGTGTACGGTACAGACGGAGTTGTGTATTTCGAGGGTTGACGATGTCTAATCTTGCTGCGGTGCTGGCTTTTCAATCATAAGTTGCTGGTGCGTCAGAAGTGTTGATGAAGGACATTGTGCAATCAGGCATCTGGTCTGAAGCTGGAGCGATTTATAGCTAATTTTTACCAAAATTCAAAGTCAGTCAGGTAATATACGTAAATACACTGTTAGAAGTACAACTCTGACGACCGCAAGTAACAGTTTGTTTTAATTAAAAATAGTGTTAGTTATTCTGAGTTTTTGTTTGCTTGAGTAAAAATACGCACTGGCTTGAAACTATGCTGCGAGTTGAAGGTAAATTTTGACTTCAGAGAATATAAAGGCCATCGAATTCTAGATATTGCCTCGTAATGATTTGTCGGGACTATAGGGCTGGCTCGTCAATATTTTCGGAGTGTAGAAAGGTTGCATTCGTTTCAAAAGAAACTTTAGACATTTTTTTTAACTTATGGATTAAAGGACCTTTTTTTAGTAATCCACTCATAATTGACGAGAAAATATGTTATTAGAAGATCGATCATTATTCGCAAGTTGATTGTTCTTGTTAGCTTCGCTACGTGTTCTTTTGCTTTTCGTAGAACGCTGAGGGAACAGACGCTTTAATTTTATTGTCTAAAACACGCCATTTATCGCATAAAAACCCCTCAAGAGAGGACTAACGAAACACAAGCAGCGTGTAGCATAGATTGTTTTAAAATACAAATTCATGGTCAGAGATTCTATCTTTTCACACGAATGGGTTCCAGACGACGCGTTCCGTAAGCATAATGCACGGCCTGTGCATCTGTGACCTTGACTGCTTAACTCAGCTGGGCCAGTACGGCAGTCAGAGTTAATGATGCCGTTCCGATACAACTGCGAGTGTGGCCGCTACACTCACAGGCAGCGTCACACAGTCGAATTACGATACTGTCGTGTGGTCGCTACTAAGCGCTTGAGCTCGAACCTTCTTCTCCTTCTAAAAACCATCCGACGGCAGCACTGGTAGCGACAGGCACATGCCATCATTCAAAACCCTCATGAGCTTCTCCAGAGTTTACTCTTCACCCAATCTACATCTGTAGTTAAACTATGAGAATTACGCCTCTGCGAAGCATCAGTCGTGGCCGTAGGTCCTCGAAGAAGCCAACGCGCCCTCGCCGCTCTGTCAGTTTGCCGCTGAGGTAATTTCAAGATTTCAAGCACGCAGCGAGCGTAAAATAAAGAAAACGAATAAAGAGAAAGACTTTCAGTTTAGGCGATGGGGTGAATGGGTAATGGCAAATTTCACATAGACTGTCTTGCTCATCTGTAAGTTACTACCACCGACAAATAGCTAGCCCGTCGTGTACGAACGTTCTGCTAGTACAATCTTTGTCATTGTATGGCGGGTATACGGCGGCAGTAGCTGCTACCGTCAGTTGTCGCGCACGCTGTAAACCTTAAAAACCTCGGCCGTACAGCTGTAAGGCTCTCTTAGGCGTCTTTCGCAGCCTGTCTTGGCCCTCGCGATGAAGGCGACACTGCTGCCACTACCGATAGTTCTACTAATACAGTCTGCAGCGTTGTGAGCTCCGTATCGTCACAAGGAAGGCCGTGAGTCAGCGAAGAGGTGCGTCGTTTTGAACTGGCACTTTACGCAGACGACCTCTGCGGTTTGAAAAAACGGAAAGTGCTGTTGCAGACTATTGCTTAGGCCAGTATAAACAAGGTTAGTGTCATAGTATGTGTACTGTTGGTTAGGAAATTCGTCTGGCACCCGCCGAGCTCGCAAACGCTGTATCATCATCACTTTCGTATCAATTTTGGTCGTATTGGCATGTAGTTGTGCCAGCGGCGCTGCTGTTCGTACATCCTGTTAGAAACGTGAACTATAAAATAGGACATAGAAGGAAGTGCCCTCTTGTTAGGTGCGGAGGTGTATCTCCTAGAAAAAAAAAAAGAACCTATCTTTTAGAAGAGCTCTGTACGTGGCTGTCGATGGTGGCTGTATTTCCATCGGATAGCATTGTCCTACAACCCGGTGGCCATACATCTATGCCCGAAAGGGGAGCTGACTCGTGAATCTATTGCAAAAATTTTAAGTTTTGTGGCCACAAAAGACATTCGTAAGTTGGTTGAACTTGTCAAGTGGAAGCCTCTTGAAAAGTTGAGCTGGATAAGATGAGTGTGGTTAAATGCGACGTCGATGGACAGGGTAAGTCTGGCCAGTGTGTAAAATACTACTTGCAAAAGATAGATATACGGTAAACATATCCTGACTAGCGACTTCCCTGCTTAGGGGAATATTGACTCTTTTCGTTAAAGCTTATGAAGAATGACAGACGTGTCTAGGACCTAGGCGCAGGATAGCCGCTGATGAATCAAGTACTTGATTATTTACTTGTAGTAGTTCTGGGATGCTAATACATGGTCAAAGTTCTGTACCTCTGATCTCTAACTTTGGTGCCCATATTGCCGGTTAGCAAAGATTCAAAGCAGTACAGCAGCAATCTGAGCTGGTTATTAAACGCGCCCGGAAATCTCTTTGGCCGGTATGCATTATTTTCATTATGAAATACCTTGACGCACTAACAAGTGTATTGTCCCAGTGCTTCAATCTATTTGACACCCACAAAAGCGACGCCCAAGTCAACGAAATGATTTTTTCAGCGGATCAGCACACAGCTGATTCCCTTCAGCAGAGACAACGGCCAGCACCAGGTTTTGCCAGAGTCGACGTCTCCATTTCGGTACGAAAAGTCGTCGTTGGCATCGGTTTGTGACTAACGTCACCCAGCGTTGAAGCTAAATTTCCTCTTTATTAGATTCTGTGCTTGCTTCTGTTAAAGAAAAGGACATGGACCCCAGCAAATGATACGCTATTCATGGACTGATAAAACGTTCTTTAGCGTTACCTGCGATTCTATCCTACGACCACGCCGGCTTCTTATCAATTTCGAAATGAGTGTGGAACTCCTCCCATCATCAAACTTCACGAGGGCAGAGAAAAAGGCGCCATTAAAAATAAATGCGACAGGATGTCTAGCACAACAATAAATAATTTCATTGGAAATATGAATGAACATATAGTGGTACATGTAGTATGCCTTGCAGTTACTAAAGGCACTAATTAAGTACTGTAAGTACTGTGTAAGTAATTAAAACTCTACTGGAATGGATGATGTCATCTTCAGAAATATTTTACCCTTTCAGTTGGAAATTTTCAATGAAAAATCACAGTCAAGCCGATACAACAGGTCTGTCGACTGTTTACGCTGATATGCAGATGCCCGATTTAGCTGCATGTCGGGGCAGATATATTTGACATCTGGTCTGATACCCTATCCGCTTTAACACTTTACACAGGCGGGCAAGCGGATACGTTGTTGAATTATGCACCCTGGTGGGTTCTAGTTTGTAACTTTACCTCAGATACCTGTCATGTCATTTGCGGCCATTGTTGAGTTCAGCATCTGTTGTTTTCCCGCATTCTCACGGTACTACATGAATCTAAATTCAGGACCGTAGATAACCCAAATACAGCAAATTATCGGCCACTACACAATAGGGATAATGGCTAAATACATATTTTTCATAGTAGCAGAAAGTGAACATAACGACACTGTGGGAATGTTGCGGTGACTCCGTGAAACTAACGATGCGACCCAATGCGTCTTTGTAAAACCATTTTAGTTAGCCGAAATCGAAAAAAAAGAAACAAAAAAAGTTGGGATTTTCTTTCTGATCCCAGAAGAAGCTCCAGATGATACAAAGAGGTATTCTGTTTGCATACGGACTTGATGCTTAGATGTACCGTCCCAAAACGACCATGACCGCATTACTTTGCTGGTGCCCACTATTTAGCTAACCTTAAGCAATCGCGGCTTAAGACAAAAATATACGGTGGGACCGGTAGATATTTGGGTCATTAGATTTGACCGTTAAAAGAAGGCAACGAGCAACAGCATCTGAAATAAGCCATAGTCAAAGATTATGTTGTATCGACGATATTGATTTGGTAAGATGGAGTGGTCCCATGCGTCAAAAACATGAGCAAAAATTATTTTTTGAGATAGATCGAGTCCAAACAGTCATCGATAGTCCGGCAAAAGATACGTACATTTAATACTACGACAAAAAAAAACTCACTGAAATCTACATTACGTAAATTGCAGCCAACGGAGTAGAAGACTGTGGTAAACCGCACAATCTTTGCCTACCTGTAAAAATGTATACAATTCTAAGTAAAACAACTAGCTCGCTTTTCACAAGATTTACGCTCGTTTTTATAAAACTAAAATCATCACATAGAATAATATAGCTAGATATAATTTCTACGATTAGTTCTGAACAATTTTCTTTGAGCACGAGGCGCTATATACTGGCGACGTTCGGAAAGAATCGAGCTGGAAGGGCTGTTTGACGCGTTCCTCTAGTGATAAATAAATTCCAGCCTCGATATATAGCGAATATCCAGACATGGACGATAGGCTGTGGTAATAGCGACGCGTTAGGCCGTGCATACAAGTGTGTTAATCATAGAAGAATTCTCGTCGTTTCGAGGCGGTCGATTGTGACAGAAGCTACCTCGTTTGTAGGGATCGTTGAGAAAAGCTGTAGAAGAAATTTCTGCCTTGTTTTCGACTGTTCAACTATAAGAAAGCTTTTGTTACGGAAGAATAAAAATACCAGACTCAATGACTCGCCTCGACGGAGCACGTAATTCTCGCCGCTGATATTAGACAAGCGCTAGCGTGAAAAGGTTGATCCTTTAGCGCCGTGCTCTGCAAAACCTCGAAAAATTCGAATATTTTGTTTTTCGTCCTATTAAATTGTGATCAACCGTAGTGTAATGTAGCATTCGATTATAAAGCAACCGACAGGTAACGCAGTGACTTGAGCCTGCTGATGTTCCGAATGCAGTCCTGCGTAGCCCCGCACGGAATACACATTACCGTGCGTGTGTAACTCTGTATGGATTCTGTACTAAATAATAGTAACAGATTCCATCTGCAACAGCCACATACTGGGTACCTTATGAGAAAAGTTTCCTAATACGGAAAATACAAAAGCGGTTCAATTTAGTCCCTTCAGAGTACGACTGGCTAACGTTTAGCGGACAATATCTGAAGTTCGTAGATTGCCTCATCTGTCTCGCCGTCATTCTAACTTCGTTAGCAAAGTTCTTCAGCAAGTGTATTGGTCTCAGAGCAGATATTGGATTGAAGAATCCGTTGATGCTTTCACTCACATGATTTTATGAGACATTAGGATGTCGCATCATTAGGTTGCCAGCATTTCTCAAAACGGGTGCTACCCTTAAGGCAGTGTAAAAGAGGTCTGGCTGAGATAATCCAGACTGAGGGGATTATACGCTCGGCATGCGACAGATAAGTTGGGCAAGCGGACGTTTTATCGCAGGGGTTAGAGCACAGCTTCCACCATGCACTTGGCCCAGTTTTCACGCAACAAAGAACACACGAGTTTGTAATTAGTTAGGTTTAAATAACAATAACAGCGGGTGCTAACCGTATCCCCAGTAAAAAAATCGGTACAAGCAATGCAACAAGTTATCCGCTGTGAATATCCCTGGCTAGCGTGATAGGACACCTTTATTATATGACTCATTAAAGTAAATTGTCTTTATTCGGATGATACGGTAGGCCTGCTTATGGAGTATGTGTTACAACAGGTACGAAAACTCGAATTCCTGTACTGGCCGTAGGAGTAATCCCGTTTGCCCGATTTAGATAGAACTATTGCGTTTGTTACCGATAATCTATCTCGTCGCCTTACTTGGTACTGTTATACGTTTCACTGGCTGTAGCAGGGTTCTAAGACAGAAAGTCATTGTGAGGACAACACAAGCGAAATAAGATATGATAGTTATTCTACGTAATTCAGAATAATAAAGGACACAAACATGGTGAAGTAACTCACTGACGATGCGGGCCAAGTGTAGGAAAATCAAATGGCTGAAATCATGAGACAGACGAGGAGACGTTAGTCTTGCCATAGGGACTCTCGCAAATTCAACTTTAAGGTAAACTTCTCCGAAGAACAATTGACTTGCATGGATTAGTGGCGATACGAGTTCAATGTTTCCGCCTAATTATACCGCACCGGATAATTTTAGTTGACGCAGCATGATCCGGTGCGGCATGATGAAGCAAAAACTCTACAAGAAGGATACTTCTTTTTCTATTCAGTGAAATAAATATAGGGTAACAGCTAGATGGTTATCGCTTAAACGTGTTCACAGTAACACGGTTTCCTCATTGCCGATTCAGTCACTCGGTTTGTTGACCTAGAGATGTGCACACGATCATTAACAACCATCAGTTCCCGTTGGCCGTTTTTATTTTCTTAACGCGTCTGATCTATAAACCGTATGTTTTCAGTAACTGCCACACAAAAATGACGCCGCCGCTCCTAATGAATTCATGTCGGATTCCGTAATACAACCAAAGCTGTGGAATCTAGCAAACAGCGCACTTCGTCGACCTCTCCTACCGCCATCTTGTTGAGCTCCTTTTCCTGACCGATTTTTGACCAGCCAGAATTTTTTTCGTTCGTTTAGGGCTTACCATTGGCAGAGGTGAAAGTCTTTTAGAGTAATCTTTCAAGGTGAAAGTTCTACGAGTGATTGTTTACGTGAGCATCGCCGCATGGCGTCGGACGCTCCGCGAACGATCCCATCGTCGTCGTCGTCGTTCGCTGGCGCAAATGACATAGCTTACTGTCTGCTTTTTCCTAGAGAGGCGCACAATGTGTAGAAGCTATCTGTACATATGTGTACTCTTAAAAGGCAGCAAGATGTAACGACGGGAAAAGCAGCACACGCCGTATCGCCTCTTGTTCAATCATTGTGCATGTTGCTGATTCGTCAACGATGTGACAACTAGCAAGCGTGCCATTCTCTCAGCTCAACAGAGTTTTTCCATCGGAAAATAATCGGCGGTCTGTTGTCCTAGTTAAACTGCGAGCAATCATTTAGGCCAATTACCGCAAACGAAAGGGGAGCTTATGAGACCTCGACAGACGCCCTGTTCATTTCATGGCATCCACAGATGCAGCAGCAGCAGCACGATCATATCTCATCGTCTGCACAGCTTTAGCCATACGAATGAAAATTCGCTTGGGTACGTGATGTGTGCTTTACTGTACTTACGCCTATGTTATAGAGGTAAAGCTGGACACTCTTTGTCGACTGCT